CTGCACTCCAGTCTGGGTAACAGAACAAGACCCCCCACCTCAAAAAACAAAAAAAAAAAAACAAAAGCCATGTAAATTAGGAAGCTCTAATTATTATCCCTAGTTTTCAGAACTTTTAAAAGTTTTTTGTTGGTTTGTTTTTATTTTTATTTCTATTTTTTTTTTTGAGTCAGAGTCTCACTCTGTTGCCCAGACTGGAGTGCGATGGCACACTCACGACCACCACAGCCTTGACCCGCTGGGCTCAGGCACTCCTTCCACCTCAGCCTTCCAAGTAGCTGGAACTATAGGCATACGCCACTAAGTCCGGCTAATTTATTTTATTTCTTGTAGAGATGAGGTCTCACCAAGTTGCCCAGGCTGGTCTTGAACCTGTGGGCTCTGGCAGTCCTCTCACCTCAGCCTCCCAAAGTGCTAGGATTATAGGCATGAACCACCATGCCTGGCCTTAAAAATTTTTTTAATTAATTTTTTTTAGAGACAGGGTCTTGCTCTGTTGGCCAGAACAGAATGCAGTGGCACAATTATAGCTCACAGCAACCTCAAACTCCTGGGCTCAAGCAATTCTCCTACCTCAGCCTCCTAAGTAGCTTCAACTATAGGCACACAACTAACTTTTTAAAACATTTTTTTGTAGAGACAAGGTCTTGGTATGCTGTCCAGGCTTGTCTCAAACTCTCAAACTCAAGTGATGGATCCTCCCACCTCAACCTCCCAAAGTGCTGGGATTACAGGCATAAACTATTGCACCTGGCCTTTTTTTTTCTCAGTTGATAGCTGAGCTCAAAACAAGACAGAATCTTCTTGATATCAGAAATAAAAAAGGAAATTGGGTTGGGCTTGGTGGCTCAGCCTATAATCTCAGCACTTTGGGAGGCTGTGGCAAGTGGGTTGCCTGAGTCCGCAGGTTCGAGACCAGTCAGGCAACTTGGCGAGACCTCATCTCTACAATACATCAAAAATTAGCCAGGCATGGTAGTGCGCGCCTGTAGTTCTGGCTACTTGGAAGGCTGAGGCAGAAGGATCGCTGGAGGCCAGCAGGTCAACGCAGGGATGGCTGTGAATGTGCCACTGTACTTCAGCCTGGGTGACAGAGACACCAACTCAACAACAAAAAAAAGGATATCAAAGCCATATTGGTAGGGGTGTGTGGTTGAAGTCAAGCAACCCACGGAAGTGCTAAAATCTTGGAAGCCTTAGGATTGGAGTTTTAACGCCCACATGGGGACAGAGGTCAAGGTTGAGGCCCCAGGAAGAGCAGAGAGCTGAAACTGAATTCCCTGCAGAAAGCTGGGAGCTGAAAAACTGCCTTAAGCCAGCGTCCTGCAATCCCAATTTCTCGGGAAACTGAGGTAGGAGTGCTCAAGCCCGAGAGTGCAAGTCCAGCCTGGGCAACATAGTGAGACCAGAAAGGGAAGAAAAAAATAGAGGCTAGCCGGGCTCGGTGGCTCAGCCTGTAATCCTGCACCTTTGGGAGG